TTCAATAGAAAATACAAAAAAAATATTTGACATATATAGGAATTTGAAACTTTTAGGGGGTTTGTTCCTACCTGCATATAGGTCCATCCCTGCCCTGCTTTCAATATAGTTGAGAAAATGAAATATCATCATGTGGATCATTTTGTTGTTTGATTCTACCTCGCCTTAATCGAGAACGGACATAGGATTTTATGTTAAGAATGATGAATTTATAAAATTTTACGTAAGAGAGAATTTATAAAATTTTAGGGGACGAAAACTTATTTTCAATAAATAATACAAAAAATATCTCAAATATATAGGAATTTGAAACTTTTAGTGGGGACCGTTCCCATCTGCCCCTAGATTAATCACACCTTCAATATAGTTAAACAAATGAAAGATCATCACGTGAATTTATAAAATTTTAGGGGCGAAAACTTATTTTCAATAAAAAATACAACAAAAATATCTGAAATATATAGGAATTTGAAACTTTTAGGGGACCATCCCCACCTGCCCCTAGGTCAGTCATCTGCCTTCAATATAGTTGAGCAAATGAAAGATCATCATGTGATAATTCTGTTGCTAGATTCTATCTTGCCTTAATCGGGGACGGACACATGATTTTATTTTAAGAATGATGAATTTATAAAATTTTAAGCAAGACAGAATTTATAAAGTTTTAGGGGGAGAAAACTTATTTTAATTAAAAAACACAACAAAAATATATGAAATATATAAGAATTTGAAACTTTTAAGGGTATTGTCCCTACATGCCCCTAGATCCATCCATGCGCTTCTTTCAATATAGTTGAGCAAATAAAAGATCATCACGTGGATCATTCTATTGTTAGATTCTACCTTGCCTTAATCGGGGACGGACGAAGGATTTTATGTTAAGAATGATAAATTTATAAAATTTTAAGCAATAGAGAATTTATAAAATTTTAGGGGGAAAAATTTATTTTCAATAAAAAATACAACAAAAATATCTGAAATATATATAGGAATTTAAACTTTTAGGAGTGATTGTCCCCACCTGCCCATAGGTCTATCCCCACCCGCCTTCAATATGGTTGAGCAAATGAAAGACCATCACGTGGATATTCTGTTGTTAGATTCTACACTGCCTCAATCGGGGACGGATGTATGATTTTATGTTAAGAATAATGAATTTATAAAATTTTAAGTTATAGAGAATTTATAAAACTTAGGGGACGAAAACTTTTTTTTAATAGAAAATACAAAAAAAAAACTTGAAACATATAGAAATTTAAAACTTTAGGGAGTGATTGTCCCCACCTGCCCCCTAGGTTCATCCCTGCCCTGCCTTAAATATAGTTGAGCAAATGAAATATCATCATGTAGATCATTCTGTTGTTAGATTCTATCTTGCCTCGATCGGGAACGAACGCAAGATTTTATGTTAGAAATAATGAATTTAAAAAAATTACGTAAGAGAGAATTTATAAAATCTTAGGGGATGAAAACTTATTTTCAATAGAAAATACAAAAAAATATCTGAAATATATAAGAAATTGAAACTTTTAGGGGGATCGTCCTCACATGCCCCTAGGTCCATCCCTGTCTTGCCTTCAATATAGGTTAGCAAATGAAAGATCATCATGTTGATCATTCTGTTGTTGATCAATCGGGACGGGTGTAAGATTTTATGTTAAGAATGGTGAATTTATAAAACTTTAAGTAAGAGAGAATTTATAAAATTTTAGGGGGACGAACACTCATTTTTAATAGAAAATACAAAAAAACTGAAATATATAAGAATTTGAAACTTTTAGGGGGAGACTTTCCCCACCTGCCCCCTAGGTTCATCACTGCCATGCCTTTAATATAGTTGAGCAAATGAAAGACCATCACGTGGACCATTATGTTGTTAGATTCTACCTTGCCTTAATCGGGGATGGACGTAGGATTTTATGTTAAGAATGATGTGTTGAGTTAATCGATCGATGGAGTTGGCCAAGAGGGGGTGAATTGGCAAATAAAAATTTCAGTGGAAGCTTTGCAGAAAATTGAAAAGATTTGCACAACGATTTAGAGTGGTTCGACTTTCTCAACCAAAGTCTACGTCCACTACCTTAGCTATCCACACTAAGGATTTTCCACAAATTCACTAATTTGTCTTCTTTTGAGGACAAAGAGTAACCTTACAAATCTCTCAAGAATTATACCCCAAATTTTGAGAACACTCTCTCCCAAATAGAATAATACAAATTTTGCAAAATTACAAGAAAATCCTCACAAGGCAAGAAGTTTGCACAATTCTAGAACAAAGAAAGAACACTCAAGAATAATACGATTGAGCACAATAAGTGTTCTTGAAAGCAAAAATGAATATTGAATGAAATAGGCTTGAAAATGCTCAAACTTGAGGTTTGATGTTTTCTCTTTGATTATCTCTTGATTCTTGTTGATTGTTGTTTCTTGTTGTTGATCAATGACTTATAAGCTTGTTTAAATACTCCTTCAATTGATTCTGAACGTTGGGGATGATTTATGGAGTCAATGGAGCCGTTTTAGTGTGAAATCAATTAATAAAACAGCTTGAAGCGTGGGGGAATCGATACCCCCTCATAGGGAATCGGTTCCCTAAGTTTAAAATTCAAATATTTCAACCGTTGATTAGGGGGAATCGGTTCCCTCCGAGCATTTTGTTTTTCTCGGAGCCAAACCATTCAGGGGGGAATCGGTTCCCTTTGAGCAATCTGGAATTTTTGGCTTTGAAATGGTTCGAAATATTTTGTAAAATTGTTTTGAAATTATTTTAAGTTTAAAACTTAATTTTACACTTGAGTAAGGATTAAAAATGACATTTGAAAGATTTGGAGTAATATTTTGATATTCGAATAATTATATCGAATATACTTAGAAAATCTTTTGGAAAATCTTAAAATTCATTTATCTTAATTTGTTATATCAAAATATCAAAATGTTTTCAACTTGATGAATTTAAAAAATTTAAGTAAGAGATAATTTATAAAATTTAGGGTGATGAAAACTTATTTTCAATAGAAAATAAAAAAAATATTGAAATATAGGAATTTAAAACTTTTAGGGGGGACCGTCCCCACATGCCCACTAGGTCCATTCTTGCCCTGCCTTCAATATAGTTAAGCAAATGAAAGATCATCATATGGATCATCTATTGTTAGATTCCACCATTCCTCAATCAGGGACAAACACAATATTTTATGTTAAGAATGATGAATTTATAAAATTTTAAGTAAGAGAGAATTTATAAACTTTTAGGGGGACGAAAACTTATTTTCAATGGAAAATACAAAAAAAAATATCTGAACTACATAGGAATTTGAAATTTTTAGGAAGTGACCTTCCCCACTTGCCCTCTAGGTCCATCCCTGCCCTACCTTCAATATAGTTGAGCAAATGAAAGATTATCACGTGAATCATTCTATTGTTAGATTTTATCTTGCCTCAATAGGGGACATACACAGAATTTTATGTTAATAATGATAAATTTATTAAATTTTAAGCAAGAGAGAATTTATAAAATTTTAGATGGCAAAAAATTATTTTCAATAAAAAATACAACAAAAATATCTAAAATATATAGGAATTTTAAATTTTTAGAGGGACCATCCCCACTTGCCCCTAAGGTCTGTACCTACCATGCTTTCAATATAGTTTAGCAAATGAAATATCATTATGTGGATCATTTTGTTGTTAGATTCTACCTTGCCTTAATCAGGGAGGGACGCAAGATTTTATGTTAAGAATTATGAATTTATAAAACCTTAAGTAAGAGATAATTTATAAAATTTTAGGGGGAAGAACACTTATTTTCAATAGAAAATACAAAAAAAATATCTGACATATATAGGAATTTGAAATTTTTAGGTAGGACCGTCCCCAACTGCCCCTAGATCTATCCCTGCCATGCCTTCAATATAGTTGAGCAAATGAAAGATCATCATGTGGATCATTCTGTTGTTAGATTCTACCTTACCTCAATCGGGGACAGACACATGATTTATTTTAAGAATGATGAATTTATAAAAATTTAAGTGAGAGAATTTATAAAATTTTAGTAGGACTAAAACTTATTTTCAATAAAAAAATATAACTGAAATATATAGGAATTTGAAACTTTTAGGGTGACTGTCCCCACTTGCCCCTAGGTTTATCCATGCCCCGCCTTCAATATACTTGAGTAAATGAAAGATCATCATGTGGATCATTCTGTTGTTAGATTCTACATTGCCTCAATCGGGGACCGACGTAAGATTTTATGTTAAGAATGATGGATTTATAAAATTTTAAGTTAGAGAAAATTTATAAAATTTTAGTTGGACGAAAACGTATTTTCAATAAAAATAAAAAAAATATCTGAAATATATAATAATTTAAAACTTTTAAAGGTGACCGTCCCCACCTGCTCCCAACCTTAAATATAGTTGAGCAAATGAAAGATCATCATGTAGACCATTTGTTGTTGGATTCTATCTTACCGCAACTCGCTGTTTGCATCCCAATGTTATCGTTCGATATGGTGGTCGTAAATCCAATGACACCGCTCATGCTCTAGCTACCTATGTCTTTAGTCTTTCTACGCCTTTATTATGTAGTTTCTTCATGTCTTGATGCTATTGTTACTACTATGCTAATTTTAGTATATGAAGATATGATTTAAATTGAAAAAAAGAAAAAAAGATTGGAGTATGACTTTGTCAACTGTGAGCCTTTTGTGATTCCGTAAACTAAACTATTCCATAGGATAATATTATTGTTATCCAATGAAATAAAAAAATAGAAATCAAACCTGAACCTTTGAAAATTGTAACGGCTAGTTCAGTGGTGTGCGAGGGCCACTATAAGGCTTACCGTTGGAGAGTAGAAGTGGCGCACAGCAGTGGCACGCTCCTCGAAGCCTTAGACCATTTTCACGTGACACTATCTTTCATTCGTGTTTCCCCATTCTAAGGGTTTTTCTTATTTCTGCCCTCTCATTACTACTAATTTGATTCTTAGGGTTCTTCTTACCCGTTTGTTTGTTTGATTTTGAAGGGCAAAGCAGTTCAGTTGATATCATGTTGAAAATCTTCAAGAAGAAAGAATCTCCCAAAGGTATTTCAGATCCACCCATTCATTACTTTCTCTGCTAACTCTGAAAGTTACATTTCTATGTTTACACTTTACACAATATTTTGCCTTTTTTTAAAAAAAATCCAGATGCTTTGCGGTCGAGCAAAAGAGAAATGGCGGTTGCAACTCGTGGTATATGTTCGTTTTTTGTACTTACATTGCTCGAACTCTTCATTTTTCTCTAATGAATGTAGATTTGGCATCTGCGTCTTTGAATTTTGACTGAAGTTTGTTCACTCTCCATTCGTTGGAGCTGAAATTTGACTAAATGTATTCTTATTTAGGCGTCGAACGGGAGATTGCCTCTCTTCAACTGGAGGAAAAGAAATTGGTGGCAGAGATCAAGAAGACCGCCAAAACCGGAAACGAGGCAAGTTTTAATTCTTGATTGGTTTCGAAAAAATGTGCTATTGATGTTTCTAAAGCCATGTCTTTATGAGCTGCAATTTAGTTGAAAAAAGGGAAAATAAGTTTACTCGATGAAGTGTTTGATGAAGTTCATCAATCTATCAAGGCTGTTTATATTCCCGTTTTTTTTACTTCAATCTTTTGTAATGTCGATAATGAGGTTGTAAAGCTTAACGATTTTTCCAACCTAGAAGATTTTTTGATTATTTAGGCTGAATAAATGCACACCTTGTTAATTGAAGCATACCATTCTGTAATGTCAAATCGTGAAAAGGATCCATAAACAGCTCATCGTATGGTTATGGAATTTGATTGTATAACAAGGATGATCTGTCGTGATTATCAAGAACTCAGCCATTGGAGTTTGCTCAAGTGATGCCCTTAAAACCCCAAACCCTCAGCTCTCCTTTACTTGTTTCTCAGGCTGCTACTCGAATTTTAGCTCGCCAACTTGTACGGTTGCGTCAACAGATAACTAATTTGCAAGGGAGTCGTGCCCAAATCAGAGGCGTCACAACTCATACGCAGGTTGAGTTTCTATAATAAATCCTTGCCTCCTTGGTTGCTGGAACGATTAAAGTTTGTTGTATGCCAGTCCCTCAATGTTTTATTTTGAGTGTTTACTGTTCACAGGCACTGTATGCCAGTACCTCAATATCTACCGGAATGAAAGGAGCAACTAAGGCAATGGTGGCAATGAACAAGGTATGTGTACTTCAAACCTTGCTTTGGTAAATGTTTTACGTTGTCCGTTATTAACTGTGAAGTCCTTTTGACATGGAAATCATTACACTTGCATGGTTTCTTCCGCGATGACTCTTTGCAACTTGTTACTCTCCACAATCGGATATTCTGTCTTTTTTGCAGCAAATGGCTCCTGCGAAGCAAGCGAAAGTAATTAAAGAATTTCAAAAGCAGTCGGCACAAATGGATATGACGGTACTCTTCTTATCTTCTGCTTTATAATAACTAGAACGTGATCCAGTGTAGACTAATAACCGAGTCTTGTGAACACGGCATGGATTCATTTAGTCCTCAGTGCAAGGATCGATTCGCTTAGCTCCTGCTAGAGTGTTTTATCACCAAGTATCGTGTTCTTTTTGCAGATAGAGATGATGTCGGAAGCTATTGACGAAACTTTAGATAAAGACGAGGCCGAAGAGGAAACAGAGGAGCTCACCAATCAGGTGCTCGATGAGATCGGTGTGGATATTGCTTCTCAGGTTAGATTCTTGAAATTCATCTTATCAAAACTTTCTCGAACCGCGAGGATGCATCGATAAATGCTTAAACCTCCCCCCTCACCCCTCCGTTGTTTTAGCAGCTGTCTTCAGCTCCAAAGGGTCGGATTGCATCAAATAATGTTAACGCCAGGTATGCATGTCGCATATGTAAGCAAAAACAGAGATGTCTAACTCGATCAAAGCATTGACAAATACGGTGATTTGGTGCAGGGTCGAACCAACTGATGTTGATGATCTCGAGAAGAGATTGGCCAGTTTACGACGACTTTGATGACAAAGGAAGTAAAATGAATGTAAATTCTATGATATATGAAGAACAGAACTGTAATATGGCGGGATCTGTTATAATTACTTTGAAACTGAATATCTATATTATCTAAATTACTACAATTTATGCTAATCCTTTGTATTCTTTTGAAACCAAATTTTATATTCAATTGTCCTATATGCAGCAAATAGAAAAATCGAATCAATTTATTCAAGGTAATGTTTGTTGGGTTGACAAACATCGGTTCGGTCCAAACTAGTCAAGACAAAGTCTTTGAACGAGAAGGCAACAAAAGAAAAAAAAAAGTTATGTAAGTCCTAGAGAGAAGGAAAAAAGAAAAAGGGACGATTAGATGGAATTTTCACACATAACTCATCATTTTAAAAATTAAACATTAAAAAGATATCTATTATAGGTACTATTTTATTAAAATTCATAGAAAACATGATTAATTAGAGATATTTACGTATATTTGACACTTCATCTCAATAAAGATGAGATTGTTTGGACATTAAGTGTCGTATCTTTCTTAAGTTAGAATGTCGTATATACAAATGCACATTCACCATTATATTTTTTTTGAATTTCAATGAAAATTATCATTTCGATAAACAATTTATAACCTAAGTAAGTAGTAAAGAACCTTTTATATTACATAATATTCAATATTTTTTTATTATTAATCTAGTATAAGTTAGTATCTATTCAAAGATAACTCTCAACCATTTGATTGCTCGCTTGTATCCCTGGCATTGTCGATACTCGAACCCGAACCTCAAGAAATATCAATAATTCTTTTACCGCTAAGATCACACGACTTCGTGATACATATCCAAGACCTAATTATGATTGGACAAACTCTTTAACTTCTTTAAAACTGATTATCTTATAGAAAATAATAACATGTAGCGATATATTTAAGGTAAAAAAGTCACTTGGGCTCTTTGTACTTTTGAAAAAATATTTTAAATTTTAAATAAAAATTACTCAAATATTCAAAAAAAATATAAAAATACTAAAAATAAAAATAAATCATTAAAAATTTAAAAATATATATTAAAAATGCTAAAAGTACTACTAAAAAAATAAATATGTATAATAAATTATAAAATATAACTTATAAATTATTAAAAAAATTAAAATATTTTTAAAAAGATATATTAATATATACATGTAACATATAGCCATATCATCAACACTTATAAAAAATATTTTTACTGATTAATCAGGACTTACAAAATTTGGATTAGTCGAAACATACAAATTATCATTTTATAGCTTATGATATATATCTTTTTAAAAATATTTTTTTTATTTTTTAATAATTTATGAATGATCATTTTATAGTTTATGATATAAATTAAAAAGTTTAATTTTTTAATAATAGTTTTAGTGTTTTTAATATATATACTTACTTTTTAGTAATTTAATTTTTATTTTTAATATTTTTATTTTTTATTTTAAAATATTTTTATATTTTTATATTTAAATTTTAAAACATTTTTTTTTATTTTTAAAAGAATTAAGTAAGCCCTAAACATTTTTAGAAAACTTAATTTGGCCCTCGAACATTATCAAAAAACCAATTTAGCCCATATGTTATATCGTCGGCCACCATGAACGGCTAGGTCAACATCGTGAATTGCTACGTCAGTACTGTAACGGTTAATGATAGAAAAGATTAATCAAAGGGACACATTAGATTTATTTTCTGAGTTAGAGGATCATATTAGATGAAAAAAAAATACGATGACTACATTAACTTTTTTTCACTTTTTTTTCAAAAGTGCATAGCTTCATGTGCCTTTTTAGCTATACTTAAATACAAATTAATACTTTTATCTTCCCCTTTAATAAAAGAAAATTAAAAATTAGCAAACCCTTATTCCATATGTAATGGGATAAGGGGAACAGCTTCGTAGGAGACTTCGAATTATGAAATGCTCCGTGAGACTCGATCCCATAACCTCAAGATTAAGAACCTTGTGCTCTACCAACTAAGCTAGATGTTATTTCTAATAAAATAAAAATAATCTAAAATAAATAATTTTGATTTTTAAATTAGTAACTAATTTTTATTTTTATTTTCCAAATCGGACGATTAGGCCGTTTGAAAATTTCTTTCCAAATTTTATATTCAGTATCGGCCAAATCCCAACGACAAACAATCATTCATTTATTCTACGTAAGAAGCCAAATTTCAACGAAATCTCCTCATCTATCCCAAAAAAAAAAAAAAGATTGAAGAAACTCGATTCTATGGTTTGACCCAAAATAACGTTATTAAAGGATTCCTAATTTACGCGGATCTCATCGTATTTGGAATACAACACCTTACATATTTTCTCTTAACAACATTCTTCTTCTTCAAATTCAGTAATTCACGTTTCATTCGAGGTAAATTGAACCTCCTTGTTCATTTCCTTTTCTTTTTTCCCCTGATCCACGTCTTATTTACGACTTTTTGTGTAATTTGCTTGACAGGAACTTTGACTGTCAATTAAATTGCTTCTCGATCGGTTCTTTGTTGAAGGAGGGGAAATCGGGTATTTCTTTATTATCATTTCGGGGGTTAATTTTGATTTTATATCTGTCCACCAGTAGTATATTTGTTTTCGAATTAGATCTTCCGTACCTGGAAAACTTATTTTTCTCTTTGTAAATTTAATTTCAAGTTTAAATTAAGGATGTTTCCCTATCTCCTGTAAATTTTATTGGCTAGGGGTTTTAGGGAAAGAGAAGTGTTAATTTGTTCTGAGATGTTGCTAGAATCTGATTAAAAGGCTTTTTTTTTAATGGAAAAGGTGGTTAAAAACACTATATATTATGTACTACTAGTTTGTTTTCTTTCTCGGATTTTGGAATTTTGAATCATCAATTTTCGTTGTTGTTTTATTGTGAATGTTAACGCATTTGATTTCAGTGTATCTAATGCTTTACTTTGAGATAGAACTCTCATTTAGTTGCTTATACATGACAGCTATGTTACGCCGACTCGGGAGAAAGTGTCGGATATGATTATGCTTAATTTTTCCAATTTGTTCATTTACTTAGAGATTCATTTATTTAGATAAAATGAAAAGTCTGGTCAACATAGAACGCTATTGTTAACTAGTCTGGCACCTTGTTACCTTGTAACTTTGGTAATTTTGAATGTTTTGGAGGATTTTTACCTCTTGAGGCCCTGTTGCTTTATCGAGACTGAATTGGGTTACTGTATAAGATTTTGCTACCACCTGCTTTGTTTGAATCTCTAAACCATTATTACCAAATTTAAATGGCTATTAATGTTATAATGAGATTTAGAAAAGTATCTTTACATGGTTTGTTTCAATGAGTGCAGATATGCAGAACCAACTTGTTTGCAGCGGGTGTAGGAGCATTCTTCTATATCCCAGAGGAGCTACAAATGTTTGCTGTGCAATATGCAATACGGTTACACAAGTTCCTCCCCCTGGTAACTTAATTTCTTATTCACCATGCTTGCAGATATAAAACCATGAGATAGTTTTCCGAAGTTATCAGTATCATTGACATGATTATTATTAGTTGAAACTCAAAAGATATCTACTTCATAAAATTGGTGAATTTTTGCTACGTTCTACTTCTTACTTAGTGGCATTGGAAAATATTTCCCTTGTTAACATATGCTCTAAGACTCTGGTAATTCTAATAATGGTGGTTTTCTTATCTAGATTATAGAATTGTTCTACATAAACAAGAGGATTAATTACAGCAAGGATACATAACATTAGTCTGGGGTGGCGACTAACATCCTCTTATTCAGATATGTTAACGAATGAGTTAAATATATCTGATAAGAATCTTTTGGTTTGATAACCCGTTACATTAATCCTGCAGGAATGGAAACGACTCAACTCATATGTGGAGGCTGTCGAACATTGCTAATGTATGCACGTGGAGGAACAAGTGTAAGATGTTCTTGCTGTCACACCATTAACCTTGCACCAGGTATAATAATTTTTTGTATGTAATGTATATTTTTGGCTGCAATGTTAGGAACTGCTGAATTGTTGCTACTAAAGAAGAAAGGAAACTCATTTTGGGTTTTGAGTCAAACTTAATGCTTTTGGTTGAATATTTCTTACTTCAACTTCTTCTGCTCCGTACACAAGTACAAGGAGTGTGGTTCAGTTTGACCAAAAAGAAAAAAAAATGAGGGGGGCCTTGTTGTCTTGTATTCTTATATTTTTATGTTCCTCATGGATATCTTCTGTTACCATTTTAATCTTCATTGAACCTTATTTTAGTAGAACTACTTTGGCTAGTCAAAGATCCTCATATGCTTCTACACTGTCTTCTTGATGTTTCTTGGTTGTCTTGGTTGTTAGTTGTTTATCTATATATTCTGTGTTTATTTCTTTGTCCTCTTGTCCCTGGCTTGTTTTCTGACTTTCTTCTTTCTTGGATCTCATGACTATGGAAAAAGCATCAAACCAGATTGCTCACATCAATTGCGGGCACTGCCGGACAACATTAATGTATCCATCTGGAGCTCCATCTGTCAAATGTGCCGTCTGTCAATATGTTACCAATGTTGGGGTAAGTATGATTGAATTGATTTAACATTTCATTAGTCTATTACCAGCTTATGAAATATCTTATAATTTGAAGAGATTTGTAGATTTACTTACAATCCGGCCACAAGAGGCTAAATGGGGGCCATATGAATTCATAGTTTGCTTGATAGTAATCATTCTATAAAATCTTTAAAATAATCATATTGTATTTGTTAAGAGCATATTTTGACAAAGGCTTTTGATGCAAGTTTCACTTTTAAAACATCTTTAAAATCTTTAGCAATAGTTCCCTATTGTATTTGTTCTAGTTCTGAATATCTCCATTATCTGGTTTGTGTGTGGTTGCTGCAAGCTCTTTGCCCAAATGATGCACAAAAATAATCATATTCTTTTTGGGTCTTCTGTTTTTCTGAGCAAATTCGACCTTTGGGGATTACCTCTCAAACTTAACCTTACTCTCCAACTTCCTGATTCTTTCTTTATCTCATCTCCTTTCTTGACACTCTGTGCTGTCACCATGCCATGGATATAGAATCATCTCTTTCCTCAAGCAGGCTTTGAGATTCTGAATGGAAAGGGCAATGCTTGTTGGCACCCTTTAATTTGGCATTTTATTATCTGTTTCAGGTACATAAATGTATGCGAGTCACACTCCCAAGTGACATGGTTAAAACTGTTTCGAAGGCAATATTTTGAACTTTTTACTATTTTCATGGTGTCGAAATCCCCCGGTCTATACTACTAAGGTTATGAATACTCAGGAAGTTTGCTGAGGTTTAATCAGAAATTCAAGTGCTTGTTCTCTCATATATTCATGAAATCAATACTTAAGAGCACCATTATGGGATATACAGTGTATACATTTCTGTCTAAAAAATCTTTGGAGGTTTACCTATTTTCACTCTATATTTATCATCTATCTTTCAGATGGGCAATGCGAGGGTTCCATTTTCCGGTAACCGACCTAATCAAATAGCTTCCACTGGGACTATGCCATCTACTTCATCTGTAGGTTTTTTAAGTTTCTTATTATTGTCCTGTTATTTGATATAGTGGATATTTTGAGCTAATAAACCTTTTACCAAATCTAACCGTTTTACATTCAATGCCGCAATTTACAGAGCCAAACAGTTGTGGTTGAGAATCCCATGTCAGTCGACGAGAGTGGAAAATTGGTAATTATAGTTATAATTCTTCAATATATTGTGCTTTTTGTTTTCTTGAACTTTAATATATAGAAATCGTAAATGGTGGGGTGCAGGGCTGATAAAATTATGATATCGAATCGCAGGTGAGCAACATTGTGGTTGGCGTGACAACGGAAAGAAAATGATTTGATGAGAATTTTGAGTTCGATTACCCCATTTATTTGAGTTGAATGCCAACAAACGTGTTTTGAGCCTGGAATCTAGTTGTGAATAATGTAGTAGTATACGTATAGATGTTGAAAATGGAAGGGCAGTTAACATTTAATTTAGTCAAGTATGAGGTAGGGAAAATGTGTATTGTATATTTTGTGCACGAGGAGATGGTGATGTTGAAAAACTGGATCGGAATTCGGCCATCCTGTGGGGTTTGGTCATCCATGGGAGTGTCATTTAACACTGGATTTTGGAAAGTGAAGACGTGTGTTGTATTGCACTGATGAGTGTTATTTAAATTGAGAAAATATGTGATTTAGATTGTTCGAGGAAAGATATGTTAAAAAACTTTGAATAGCTAATTTGGTTCGGTGGGGTTTTATTATCATACACCAATGATCATTGATGTTTGGGTTTATGATTAAAAAGTCTATTGATTTATGAAGTAATGGCCATTCCTTAAAGATGTGATATTTAATACAATTAAAATATTCTAACTCACTGCATTCCTCTATACAAAACAATTAACTGATAAACAATCGTAAAAATTGAATCCAAATCCAAAAAGTAGACAGTTATCCAAGGCATGCAAACTGTACTAGTTAGTTGTCTGCCGGCTCTGTGTTTCTATTCTTTATTTCTGCTCTTCGATCCAATTTCCTCCATAATATAATCTTTTCTAACATTAAAATCATTATCATATTATTTTTGTGGTTTAATTACCTTTTAGAACCTAGTTAATTTAAAAAATAAGCAACTTGGCCTCTCCCATATTTCATCCTCATTCCGCCCTTGACTCCATGAATTAAAGAAATTCAAAAAAATAATTTTTTTATATAATATCTAAATACAAACAATATTTCAAATACATGATAGATGTCTTCAAGTATAGTACAATTGCATAAATTTTAAAAATCAATCAATACATGTAACACAGTAAAAAAATCATATTTATGCGAGAAGTTATGCTGTGTGGCAGTCTAATCTAAGGTTAAAAAAATGATACTTTTGAGGCACAATCGAAATTATGATAAAAACCATAATATTTTAAGTTGAGCGTCACCTAAATTACTATAATTTTACTATCATTTTCGATTGAACCTAAAATGTTACGAAAAAGATAATATTTTCGATTACAAACAAAAATATTACGAAAAATATAACATTTTAAGTTACGTAAAACCTAAAATATTATAATCTTTATCATATTTTTTATTACACCCAAAATCACTTATTTTTAATCTTAAATTAGAGTATTAGTCGTTAGAATACCGCTCCTTAAACTTTCCATATCCACACATATCTCATCAACTATGAAAAATTTTAACTTTTATTTTATTTTCACAAGATCAGAAATTCATCCCATTAATATTCCTAATCTCATACTGTTTCTACCTCTCTATATTTTTTCTAATATATATTAAAAGAAAACTAATATTATTACTATTATTATCATTATTATCTTTCCAAACAGTTTACCAAGTCAATATCTATTGGATTATAATAAAAATGAGACTTTTTTACTTAATAATTTTCGCAAGCAAAGAATATTTTTATTTATCCTGAAATTAAAAGTTTTTTTTAAAACGTCTCCTTCATGGAATTGAACTACAAAACTTCAAAGCGGTGTTTACGTATAAATTAAAAACGAATGTGATCTGGGTTTGATTTGTTTACCCAACTCAAACCACAAACTCTTTCCTACTCCGCAAGATTTTGTTTCTCTACAGAGAAATAAAACACAACAATTTTACAGCAAATTGTTCTTTTATTATTTACTCTTTTCATTATTTTATCGTTCCAAATTGAATGGAACAGTTGAAAGTAGCGGCAAATTGTCCTATGAAAGAGGTTAGATTCTCTCTGTCTTTTATTTATTTTATATATTTGACTCCCTATTTAATTGCGCAGATCTGTTTATGAGGAATATGGGTCTTTCACATGATTTTTTTGGCTTTTTGTCTCAGAAAGTTCTGATTTTTGCTCATTGAATAGCTAATTAAAACCTGATTTCATGATCAATGTTGATTAAATTTCAGTATTTTGTTTTAAAAAGACGGAATTAATTTACAAAATCTGTTCACATTCAGAGCCCTAGGAAAGCATTGTTCTTGAGATTTCATTTTCTTATTTAACTATCGTATTAGTTTTCAATTTCTGACATGGATTCTTCTTATTGTTTCAATTGTTGGATGGTATTGCTTATGTATATATGAAATCTTCTCTGAGAATTCATAATCCTATCACTCGAAAGAATTATGGTTTTTAAATCCCTAGTAATGCATTGGGAGTGGGGGCAAGTAGTATAAGTTATTAAGAATTTTTTTTTCATGGTTGAGTAAAGGTATAGATCACAGCTTACCAGTGGCAGTGGCCATTCATACCTATAGAGCAAGGCATGGTCAAAGATCAAATATCATGGAACTTTTGTTAGGAGTCCTTAACTTGATGTCTTGATATCTTTCTTAACTTGGTTTAAAGCAGCTTTTTGCAATTGCCTGTGATCAACTTAATCAAGTACCTACCGCTGAGTGTGAGATTTAAAGAGTGCTAAAATTGGGTGATATTCCGTTTTTGATATGTTCTATATGCTGGTAGGTGATGTATGATGCTTGTGTAGAACTGTAGATTGAAGGAATTGTACTGAGACTATTGTTTTTCATGTGATATGCTTATCTTCCCTGTTTCCAGAAATGCATGCATGATGTATGGATATTTTTATGCATTTGAATTTGAATATCCATGCACAAAGATATTGTTTAAATGGGTCATATCTTGTCTTTTGCAATATGATACCGTTATTTATGTGCGTAATTTTAGAATGCCTGGTTCAGGCAAACCAGATTATGTGAATTCCTAACAAGAGATGGATTGCAGGATCATTCTTCACAACTTTCCATGAAAAGAGATAATAATATCGAGTCCTCGGGAAGTCCTCGTCATCGAAAAGTAAGTTAATGCACAACACCTTTGTGTTAACATATATGTTGTACTCCTTGCAACAGCTTGGCCATAATGACTTTTCTGTTTTTGGTAGAAAGACAACATCTAAATGCAGGCATTTTGAATCCAAGAAGAATCTAGGGTTCCTGCATATGTTTAAATAGCAGCCATATGTAATTTTAGTCTCAGTATATGTATTTTGACAGTTAGTGAAGGAAGATTTTCACATGATATCTGAAGTACCGCAATTATAAATGTTTTGGCAGAAGTCTTTTGTTGAGACTCACACTTTTGCAACCAGAAAGATAATTATCTTTATTTAAGTGGTCCACATTGGGTTACATTTTTAGTGTGAAACCATCTGAAAATCAACTAGCTATATGTTCCTAAATTCTGTAGCTTGATGAATGAGATCATTGATGCTATGTTTTAGGTGTCAGCAAGATGGGATCCAGATGAAGCATGCCGGCCTGACATTGATGATGCTCCAGTGTTTTATCCAACCGTTGAGGTAATTTTATCTTGTAAGAGTAAATATATGACGCCAAAATTTCTTTATGAGAAAAGTACTTAGAGTTTATGATGTTCTAATATACTAGGAGTTTGAAGACACACTTGCCTACATAGAAAAAATTCGTGCTGAAGCTGTATCATCCGGTATATGTCGGATCGTTCCACCACCTTCTTGGAGACCACCTTGTCCACTTAAAGAGAGAGATATATGGGAACATGCTAAATTTTCAACAAGAATTCAGCAGGTTGATTTACTTCAAAATAGGGAGCCAATGAGAAAGAAAAATAGAAGCGGAAAACGGAAACGGGGAAGGCATTCTAGAATGGGAGTCTCTAGAAGACGTGCCAATTCTAGTTCTGAATCTATTGTTACTTCTGAGACTGATGAGAAGTATTGATTTAATTCAGGATCAGACTTTTCTCTTGAAGAATTCCAGAGATATGCAGATGATTTTAAGGAGACATACTTTCGAAAGGACTGTAGTGAGGAATTAAAGCCAGGTATGATTGGATGCGGGAAATGGGAACCTTCTTGGGAGATATTGAAGGTGAATACTGGAGGATAGTTGAGCAGCCAAAAGATGAGGTTGAGGTGAGGAGTTTTTTCATCTCATTGCTCCTGTCTTTTATAAGATTTCATCCGTGGAACATCTGTTTACTTTTACTGGAGTTTATTTTCATATTGCAGGTATATTACAGAGATGACTTGGAAACAGGAACATTTGGCAGTGGCTTTCCTAAGGCATCATCTATATCAACTGGAAATGATGCAGATAAATATGAAATGTCAGGTTGGAGCCTAAATAATTTTCCTCGCCTTCAAGGTTCGGTATTATCTTTTGAAGGATGTGATATATCTGGAGTTCTAGTACCATGGCTCTATGTGGGGATGTGCTTCTCGTCATTTTGTTGGGTAAGGCATAAAAACTGCTAGAATTGGGTTCCTATTAGATCAAATGATTAAATTGACTTAAGATGTATCTTTTTTTCAAAATGTACAACACGCTTCTCTTAAGTTATAAACTCAGTTTTGAACTTGTCTGGCAGTATGGTGCTCTATTGTTGTAGTTGTAGGATGATCTAGGGTTGCTTAGTTGCAAGTAACTATAAATTTACATCTTTTGCAATGCAATCTTATACTAGAAACATGCTCACTAACTTGAATTATGATTTCTATTCTCGTGTTTTACGTCTGAATTTTGGAAAACCATTCTGTTCTTATGAACATGCAAAAATAATTTTACTTTAAAAACTGTAGATTTTTTTGATAGTTTGAATAGTGATTCATTCCTTAGTTTTTTATTCTTTTCTCATTTTTACTGTATTATTGTTCAAGCAGCATGTTGAGGACCACCATCTGTATTCACTAAACTATATGCACTTCGGTAATCCAAAAATATGGTATGGAGTGCCTGGGAACCATGCTACATCTTTGGAGGCTGCAATGAGAAAGCATCTGCCGATTTGTTTGAAGAACAACCTGATTTACTCAATGAATTGGTGAGAAGTTTATTTGTTTTTACTTTTATTCTTTATTGTATTTTATCGACCGGAAAATGCATTTCGCTGCTTTTTATTTATTTGCTTTTGCATATTTTTACACTTTTTGTTGCTTCTTGGAGCCATATTTGTCTTCTCATTGAATGGATGACAGAGAACAAGTATTCCCATTACATCGTCTCTACTCAAAATTTCTGAACTAAAGCTCGTGAAGGGATTTTCGATATCTTTGACACTTGATTTTCTTTCGTTTCATTTATTTTTTGCAGATGTTAAATGTTTCACTAGCTTATTACATGCATGAAATTTATGATTCACAGGTTA